GCCGTTCGCTCGAGATCGATTTATGCTCCGCTTCGATCATTCTTTCTCTCTTATTAACGGTATATGATTTACTTCAATAGGTATTTTAACGGTCTCTCTGGATTGACAATTGGACAATTGGACAATTGGACAATTGGACAATCGACTCAACTCGTATGGAATATTTTATATTAGAGCTTTATAGGAAAAGGTAGAAAAGGAAGAAACATAATTCGACTCACTTGGCTTCGTCCGCAAAGACGAACTTTCGAAGTTTCAGATCCCTGAGGACGACGCCGTATTCGTGACACGTGGCAACGGCCTTGGCTGCTTGCCGGAAGAGTCGTCTCGCTTCGGGCTCGCGTAATCTCCTGCGTGCTCTAACATAAGCGTGCAAATCACCATGATGACCCTCCAAAAGGAGATAACGTCGGCCACCGCTACCTTCGACGATACCAGCGAGACCGCTTGCCGCCTCCGTTCCCTCCAATCGAAGGTGTGCTTGTAGCAACGCTTCGCATCCTTTGTCACTTGGAGTCAATGCCTGAAATTTCATTCGCGATCAATTATTATAATATATATATATTATCGCTTAAAGATGGAATTTATCTACAATTTGTAGGCGTCCCTTTCATTTAACAATCGCTCATCTAGACGTGTTGCAACATCGAAACGTGTTACCATCGTCCTTGCTCGTGAAAAATCCTTCATTTTGATAAAAAGAAAGAGAGAGAAAGAGTATCTTTGAGATATGTGTAATTGTGTACTTGAAAAATAAGAAGAAGAGAAAAAAAAATAAGGGGAAGAGGACAACCCATTCGATTGCGAAATCGTGTCGCGTTGTCTTTCGAGACGACGTAATCGTCAATTAAATCAAACGTCCCTGGCTTTAGTAGCGATTACGAGCAACGGGTTAGGGTCCGTCGTCGACGTCGACGTCGACGTCGACGTCGACATCGACGAGGCAAGGTGCAGCCTTGTATTTGTTCGCAGATCGATGATGATGATGATGTAAGCGGCGACTCATTGTATAACGTCGAGCGATTGTAAAATGTTAATGGAAACGCGGAGCAACCGTGGAGAGACCGCGAGGCTAGGCTACGTAAGTGCGAAACCTTCTCTTGCATGTAACGCGTGCTCGGTTTACAATGCAATTTTGCTCCGTCCTTTTTATTTATATGTATATATACTATACGTGTAACACCCTCAAATCGAGTTCGTTCAACTTTCAAACATTACGTTCAGAATGTTCTCTCGCGTGTTTCATCAATATATCTCTCTGTGAGAAAATATAGCTTGTTAAAGTATAGAACAGCGTCCTCCTTGGTATTACGTTCAATGTCTATTATTTGCAAGCTATCGATTAATGTCGTCGAGATGAAAGACTAACTAAAGATAGAAATTGTACATATGTAGGACCATTTGAGATCCGCTTTCCAGGAACTCAAAGAGCCGGTCAATGGCTCGTTTTCTCTCTCTCCCTCTCTCTCCCTCTCTCTCTTTCTGTTGAAAGAGTCGCCAAGCGTTTCTACCGTAGGCCACGCGTTACTTTCTAACCGTGAGAACCTCGTTAATCTACGCTCACGTATTGCCTGCTTCATGTTACTACGGTTTAAAGTTTGTTTTATTTTTGTTTTATTTTTTTAGCAAAAGGAAATAAAGAAAATAATAAGATAGAGCGTAAGTTTGGCGAAAGGAACCGTCGTCGTTGATTCAAATGCCAAATGCGATAATGTTATGCGTTGACTGACCTTGGCGACTAGCTGTTGATCGGTTTGGATGTCAACGCATCTGTAAAGTGCACTGCCTTCCGCCGGACCAAGAAGAACGAATCTATCACCGAGAATGGTTGGTCCGTGATGCTCGACGTTCCGTGCCGTTGGTTCGCAACTCGAGAATCCGACGAGCGGAACGACCGCGCTCGTATTTTCCTCAGTGTTCGTTCCCGCCGACTGTTGTCGTTGATGATGTTGCTGATACGGATGCTGCCTATAACGATGATGATGATGATGATGATGATGGTGATGATGTTGTTGATGACGGTGGTTATGATGATGGGATATTTGTGATTGTTGTTGCTGCAGCTGCTGCTGTTGCGGCTGCTCATGTTGTTGTTGTGGTTGTTGTTGTTGTTGTTGTTGTTGTTGTTGTTGCAGCAACTGCTGCTGTTGCTGCTGTTGAACCTCCTGATTATTCGTATTAACCAGGAACTTTCCATTGTTGGAAATACGTGTCGTCGTCTGTAGTGGATGATGTTGCCTCGTGGTCCCCACTCTCATATTGTTGGCTATCCCGTATTTAACGATTTATTTCCGCCACACTCCCGTTATTCCTCTTTAAGAACAAAATAACTAAGAGATCCGCCGATATTTTTTTGTTTAAGTTGTTCGCACCTATGTATTGTCGTTTTGTTTATCAGATTGATCTTCTTGAACACACTTGAAAAACTCGTCAAACACCAAACGCGGAAGCATCAACCTTTTCCGAGTTGGCACGGTGCGCGACCGTTCGTTATTGTTATACGGTATAGAAGAGTTTTTATCGAACGTTCAGGCGTTTCTTAAACGACAACTAATATTTTGAATACCGTTAAGCTCTAGTTTCTTCAAGGTACGTTGCGTAGATAATGTATATACATTTATACATTTGTATACATATGTGTATGTGTTGCGTGCATAAGTGCACGTACATATACAAGTAAAAGAAGATAGGAATACACATGTGTACGTATATCACTTGTGCTCGGACCCGCGCGGTTGTCGTGTGTTACGGTGCGTGTCTTGCGTGTATTCCGGTTGGGTCCTTGGACGGATGGAGATAGATCTTCGTGAAGAAAGAACGAGTTGCTTGCTTATCTCGTCCGTAATCGGTTGCTCTTTCGAAGATAAAGCCTGCGGAATAAAAAAGGCATCCATCAATCAGTTGCACGGCGTTTGCGTTTGCGCTTGCGTTTGCGTTTGCGCTTGCGTTTGCGTTTGCGTTTTCTACCACACATTTATGATTATTAATTCAATTAATTATTATTTCAATCCTAATTGAAATCTAAATAGAAATGCAAACACAATTTCATTGTTACCGTTATAAGTTAGTTACCTACTAGCTAGTTTACTCTGTTCTAGCTCGTCCTATGATTCATGGACAATTTGAAAAGCAACGCGGCGATGCGGTTTCGACATTTGTCCTGCCTCGTTGTGCGCAATTGCTACCAACAACAACGACAGGAGAGGATCTCGCGTTAAGGTCAGGGATAAATATCGTCGCTTCTAAAGCGGTCGTTGCGCCCTCCTACAATTATCTTCATTTTTCTCAACTTTATTTCCCGCAGGCCCTTAATCTCACAGGGATCACAGGGCTTTCAGGAAATAACCGATCAAGCGTAAGCGTCGTCACGGCTAATTTAGCTCGCGTTTCTCCATTTATTTTCACCAGAGCATCATCGAATTTGCTGATTGTGAGAAAGGAAGAAAAACTTAAGAAAAGAGACGAACAAAGAATTGACTACGATTTCCGGTACATCGCATCGCGTTATTATGCGACGCGTTTACCATTCGTCTTTTTTTTCTTCTTTTTTTTCTTTTTTCTTGATTATGCTCGCAAAAAGGAAAATGAAACTCGGTTTCTCCTTCGTCGTTCGAACAACGCCATTCGAACGATTCTTACCAAGGTCAAGCGCAGGTGCGCGGCGCGCGGCGCGCGGCGCGCGACTGCAAACGCAAACATACAATTCGCTTCCGTTTGCGTACGTGGAATTGAAAAGAATGATTCCAATATTTGTCTATTTATTTTTGTCTATTCATCTTTGAACGATGTTTTCTTGTTAAATCGCTAATGCAAGGTACAATTGTATAAAATGACTACGACTACGCTACACAACGACGACGATGACGACGAACGACTACGACGCGACACTACAAGCAAGTTGCGATAGTCGCGCGTGCACTTGCGCAAAAGCAAAGTCGCTCCAGGGATCAGGGCCGTACAAATGAATCGTCTTTCCCCTTTTTCGTGATAAGACCACTCGTCGCCACCACACCACCACCACCACCACCACCACCACCACCACCACCACCACCACAGCAGCCGACACAACATCCTCTTCTCTCGATCTTATGAAACTCACGACGAGCAATCGTTTTACGAAATACCTACTCTTCTTTCTCTCTTTATTCGAATCGATTACGTTTTCTGACCTTTCTTCTTATTACTTTTACATACTCCCTGAATATATGTTGTAACACTCGCATCGGACTAACAAGTAAACGATACGAAGATGGAAACAATTGAGAAATAATGAATCGTAATCGAGGATAATATTGCAAATCAATACGACGATCTATGTTAATAATCCCATAAGACCGATCCAATTTCAATCTAAACACTCGAAACACGAATAAGATGAGTATTTACTTTGCGTTCAAATTATATGAAATATTCCTTCCTTTCAATAGCATTTTCATTTTTTGTGTTGCTTGTCTTTTCCGGATGTGGTTTATTATCCTCGCAAAAAGATGCGGAGATGGAAGAGAGAAAGAGAAAGCAATTACGTGCAAAAACATCGACATATTTTTTCCTCTTAGCGTCCATCGGTTTTTATCAATGATTTACGCGATTAATCTTTCATTATTTCGAATTAACAAGGATAAGTAAATAATAGCTATGACAAAAGTGTTGCAGTTGAAGAACGAGGCGTGGCGCATATACATAGGATGCACGCAAAACCTACTCACAACGCATTCCACCTGCGTGGACAAACATTGCGGAAAGTCGATCGCGTTCATAGCAATTCTAACGTCCAAAGATGATGCAAGAATAACAATGTTGAGAACTTGAAGAAACTATTCGATGCGTTCCATCAACGGAGCAACGATCGCGACCAATTTCCTGTCTACCACCACCACCACCACCACCACCACCACCTATGGGGGGATGAGATTCCCTTTGGATCACGTATTATCAATTCTCCCTTACGTCATTTTTTCACACGTTCAAATATCTCGCTCGATATTTTCTACCAAAAGTATAAAGTCCAATCTTAACGCACAATTCTTGATACTGAATTCTACATTTGTCGCTATATGTTTGAAAATTTGGATTACATTTGATTTTTTGGATTAAGCAATCGCTAAATGGAAAGCTGAATGAGTATACATCATATGAACGAGATGAAATATAATTTGTTCCTTCTTCTCCTTCTTCTTCTTTCAATTCAATCATCTCGACAGCGGATAAGAGCAGATATCCTTCGGTAAGGTCGTAATGGCGACTTAAAGACAGAAAGAGAGAGAAATACGACCGTCATAGCTGTCGCCGTCCCGATATCGCCAGCCTGGCACTCGCATTAATAGCGCGCGAACGCATGACGCAATCTCGCGAAAGAAATTGCCTAATACGTTCGGTTCTCGATCGTCGAGAGGTCGAACTTTAAATTCATTCCAATTCTAACGTCCACTCTGTGTTTTTCTTAAAAAAAAAA